GTGTAGTAGTGTAGTGTGTAGTGTAGTGTGTGTAGTAGTAGTGTGTGTGAGAGTGTAGAGAGGAGAGAGAGAGAGAGAGAGAGAGAGAGAGAGAGAGAGAGAGAGAGAGTGAGCTTTTGGTGTTAGGTGTATGTTTTTAGGGTCATTTTTTCTTTTGGGATGATCCCAAAAACACTAGATTGAACACTCCCCCCCTAAAAAAAAGATAAAAAAAAGTGAGAGAAAGAAAGAAAAGAAATCATGATCTAATTTTTTATCTAATATGCACCAAGACAAATGGCTGGCAATGCACTATATTCATTCTCTTGAGAAAAAAACCAAATTTTAGCCGTTTTCATTTTAAGTTTTTTTTATTGGGACATTCACTACGGTCAAGAGAATTTATATGAAAAAAATGGCCCTAAAAATAAACCCAACGCAAAAAATGGGGGTAGTTGAACTTGTGCAATGGTGGCCTATAGGCTAATATAATATGTTTTAGACACATATACAACGAGATCAAGAGCATGATTGATTGAAAAATTAAAATCCTAGTGCTTACAACGTGGGTGTATTGCTGAACAAAAATTGCAAGAGTCCAATAGATATGATATTCATTACAAGGGAACAAAGAATCCAAAGGTCCAGCAAAGTTGCGCTGCAAAAGTATTTGAATGTGTGGGAAGGAGATATTAGGGTTTTTGAACTTGAGATTTGAGATGCGTACCCCTTCTCATTGTTTAGGGTTGAAAAAAATTAAAATAAATAAAAGTTGAATATATACTATTATTGAAAGAAAGACCTATGTGATATTTTGTCAGGGAATACATTTTTTTTTTTTTATAATGATAATAATCACCCCTTTTTATTTTGGCAAAAAGATCAATTACAGATGGTTTTATTACAATCAATAAATATTTTAAAATAAAACAGCACAACAATAAAATAAAACTCAACTACTTGATGCCATTTATGCAACCTAATACTATGCTTGAGAATATAAAAATAAAAGAGAGCAAGTAAAAGAGAAGATGCCGGAGATTACTTCAATCAGGCTTATTATACCCTACACCGAGTCACCACATCCAATGGCGCGGGATCAGCGGTCTAGCTTCAAACTCGAACCGAGAAAGCTAATTTCGGCTAAACTAGATAACCACCTTTAAATCTCTACAAAACCGTAACCCCAAAACTAACTAAAGCTTTAACCTTGATGTCCCAAACCCTGAGAGAGAGAGAGAGTAGTAGACCTTGGGTTGGGGCATGCCCCCTATGGAACTTTTAGAGAAAGTTAGAGAGAGAAAATTTGAGGAGAGAGAGAGGGGCGTGGCCCCTAAGGAGGAGAGAGAGAGTTTGTGGGAGAGAGAGGTGTGTAGAGATGGGGGGAGAGCATCCTTATTTATAATGAAATTTAGGTCTAGGGTTTCTTTAGGGTTTCTCATAGTTTGCCTCTTTCTTGAGGTTGAATATGGACTGTTGATCAAGGTGATTTGTGGGTTGAGGATTTGAGCTATCAACATTATAGAAGGTGCATGAACCATTACCCCCCTTGTCCTTAAACCATTTTCCCATCAATATATTTAAATAAATTAAATCCATTAAAGATATCATGCATTCCATAAAATTGCATTATCCATCTCATATATTCCATAAGAATATATCAAGAAATATCAAGTTAATATTTACTATCTTAAATAGAGAAGATATGATCAATATTTACTATATTACAAATTGACCATATGTCATAAGATACACTTTCCATATTTAAATAACTTAAGTACAAATCTATCAAAAGAAATCCAAAGCGGTGGGGCGTGCCACCCCTATGTGGCACATGTGGGCCCCACCCACATGGCACACGGTGGGTCCATGTGCACTATGGGCCCTCATGGAATTTTATAAATTAAATAAAACAATTTAATATATATTTGAATTTTTTTATAACTTTGTAAAATCAATAACTATATTTTTATAAGTCCAAAAATCATAAATAAAATATTGAGAGATTCATAAGAATTCAAATAATAAAACTAAAATCATTTCAGTAATAAAATGAACACAATTAAATTAATATGATGGAAAAATGATCCATATAGTTTTAGGAATTCAATTTGTAATTATGAGGTACTCCACCTTCAACTGTGGACTACAGATAACACTTGCTTTATCGAACCGACCCAGTATTTCCAATGACCCACAGTTCAAGCGGGGGCTCACTAGCGGATCACCAAAGTCTGGCCGATGAGCCAAGGGGTCACAATCCCAGTCTGTGGATTACAGGTCCTCCCTTAAAGACGAGTCAAGGTCACCACGACTTGAGGCGACCATAGCTCTATGGTGCATAGGGATATCTCTCGCACATACATACGCTTCACCCAAAGGTGGATAACTGGCTTTCCGAACAATCTATCGATATGTATGCGGTGTGATGAATCATAGATGAGGTTTTGGTCCCGTCTCTGTAGGCCTACCATCACACACAAGGGTCACACAGTCCCTCGACTCATTCATCTAGGCATAAGCTCCAACTTCATCAAGGGCTAACCTAAAAATGTTTCTCGGTTTATTCTTTATGCCCAGGTACCTTGGATTTTCCAACCGACTGGCCTAGATCGTCAAGCACAGTCCGGTATTTGCAAACATCATTTGCTTAGTATGGTCCTCGAGAGACCACACTCCCACTGAGTTTATGTTCCACTATAATAAATGTTTTTCATTACATACTCATAAGGCTTTTAAAGGCCACATAAACCCAACATCTCCCACTTGGCCTTTGAAGGCCTTACATTCTCTCTTTCTTACTTTATCTCATTCCCATCTCTCTCACATGTCTTACAAAAATATTTGGGACAACTCCTATAGTCAGAGGGTCTGCAACCAGCAAATCTGTAGATATATAGCTGATCTCTATCTCTTTCAATCTTATCTCATTTCTCAAGTGATAGAAGTATGGTTTAATATGCTTGAAATTCTTATGAAACCGAGGTTGTTTAGAGACACAAATAGCCGCCGTGTTGTCGTAGAAAATTCGCACTGCCTTACAACGTATAGGATAAAAATTAAGTTGATTAAGAAACTTCTTAATTCACACGGCCTCCTTGGTTGCTATACAGCATGTCACATACTCGGATTCCATGTTGGACAAAGCCACGATATCTTGTTTCTTTGACTCCCAATAAATCGCACCCCCTTTAAGCATAAACACATACCCAGATGTAGACTTCGCATCATTTGGATCCGCGAGATAGCTTACATCTGAATATCCCTCTATTGCTATTTCAGTTCCGCCCTTATATGTGAGCACATAGTTCATAGTTCCCTTTAAATATCTACGAATTCTTTTTACTGCTTTCCAATACTCCTCTCCTGGATTGCTTTGGAAACGGCTCACCAGACTCATGACGAAGGACAAGTCAGGCTTTGTTCCCGTCATGGGGTACATAAGGGACCTAACTGCACTCCTGTATGACTCTCTCCATGGCTCTTATATCCATGTCTTCGGTAGGATACATTTTATACTAAGCTTCGTCTTTTTGTCAATTGGGGTTGAAATGGGCTTACACATACTCATATCAAACTTTTCTAGTATCCTCTTGCAGTAGGTTGCTGAGAACAGTTGGATCGTCTTCTCTCTCCTGTTTCTTATTATCTTGATGCCCAACACATATGAAGTTTCTCCAAGATCCTTCATATCGAAGTGTTGTGCAAGGAAATTTTTCGTTTCTACTACTAGGGCAATTGAGCTATTAACAATTAGCATATCATCCACATATAACAATATAAAGACCACATCACTCCCACTGACCTTTTGATATATGCAATAATCTTCATTATTTATGGAGAACCCTGCAAGAGCAA